AGACAAAATAGGATGGAGTGTGTCCCTGACAGGGACTCAGAAAGGTCGGAGGTCAGTGATGGCAGAGAGGGACCGGCTTCCACGGTCTGCGCTATGCAGGGTGAGCGTTGACTGACCGCAAAACTGAGTTTAGAAAATAGATTTTTCAAGCTGCCCAACTGAATGACCGAATGAGGGGTCAGGAGCACAGCAACCTACCTCCCCAACCCATCCTGGTTTTAAGGGACACCAGTGTCATGGCCCTGGGGCTTTGCTGGAGATCAGTGGACCCAGCCCCAGGCATGACCCACAACATGCCTTGACAGACTACAACAGGCCTGGCCAGTAGGATTCACTCATGCAACTGAGAACCCAGTGCGTTGGGGAGATGCAATTGCTATTCTGAGGAGCCTGCGATCGCAGGAGGCCAGAATGGGGTGCAGCGTGAGAGGTGGTGCATGCAGGGAGAGGCTAGAGGACGGTCTCTAGGAGACATTGTTAAAATGGAGTACTGAGAGGAGGGTGACTGCCTTGGAGGGACCAGGGGGCGTGACCAGCATCTTCAAGAAACAGTGGACTCAGTTGTGGGACTGGAGACCACAGGATGAGAGAGACAAGTGAGGCCTGAACAGACTGTGAGGGTCCTGGGATGGACGCCATTAGTCAGTTGAGGGCAGCAGGGAGAGCAGGGAGGCACCCAAGAAACAAGGTGTCCCTCTGCTCTGTGAATCAGGGAAAAAGCCTGGTGACAGTTGGGGCTCACTGGGAGTACCCTGTCAGAAAGGGGGGGGGGGGCAAGCGGCTGCCATGATGGTAGGGACTAGTGGCCTCTGGGTGTGCCAAAGGGAAGGACGGCCTGACTTCGTTAGCGCTGGGTAAAGGGGGAGCTGAGTGCCAGAGGCTAAGAGAGACCAGCCTGGGTGGGGTGGCCAGTGCAGAACTGGTGGCTAACCATAGAGACGGTTGGAGGGGAGAGGAGATAGACTGAGTTCTGCTTTGAGCGAACGTAGCGAAATGATTTGGGAGCCACAGTTTCCCAAGAGTCAGTCGGTCTAGGCTTGCCTCCCTGACCCCTGAACAACCAGGACCTACTTTAGGGTTGAAAGGTTAATATCTATACCAGCACCCAGCGCCCAGCACCCAGCACCCAGCACCCAGCACAGCTTCCTGACACACAGTAGATGCTGAGTAAACAAAACCAGGCACGTGGATCACAGGACACATGAGAGACGGCCTGCCCCTTCCTCCCTGAGAAGGAGGAGGCTGTCAAACCTTTCTCCTGTATACATAATTTAAAACTCAGCACATCCACGGAGGTGTCCACAGCCCGGCTGGGCTGAGCCAGGATGGGAGAGAGCGCTGGGAGCCGCAGATAAGGGGCCGCTGCAGACAGCCTGTCGCTCAGCCCATTAGACGCTGCCTCAGCCCTCCCCACCCCTGCTCATTAATACACAGGGTGAATAGAACACTGAATTAAAATCAGCCGGGCCACAAACGGAGGATTGAAAGGTAACTGTCAACAGGAGGATTCGCTCCACAAAGGGACCGGCCTCACGCTCAGCAAGTGATGCTGGCCCGTGTCTCCACAGCTGCATTTTCCAGAGGTTGTGGGTGGGGGTTTTTCTTTTTCCTTTCTTTATCCTTTCTTGTTTTTGTTTTTTGTTTTTTAATAGCATTTATTACCATACTCTCGAAAGGCTTGTGTTCTCTCTGCTGCATACTCACACCCAAGTGTGTGTGTGTGTGTGTGTGTGTGTGTGTGTGTGTGTGTGTGTGTGTACATCTGTGTGGACGTGTGTGTGTTCTCTCTCCTGGGTGCTCACTTCTTTGAGTGTGCATGTGTTTGTGTGCACATGTGTGTGTGTGTGTGTTCTCTCTGCTGTATGCTCACTCTGTGTGTGTATATACATGTCTTTGTGTATGTGTCTACGTGTTTTCTCTAATGTGTACACACTCCTGTGGGCACACACACGTGTATGTGCATCAGCCTGTGACACCCTTCATTCACAGACACTGCGTTTGTCTGTTCCTGGTCTAACAGAAAATAAAAGATAAAGGGAGCCACCGCACAAGTGGATGCTGGGAAAGGATGTGTCATTGGAAGACTGGGCAGTGGCAGAGAGGGACCAGGAGGAGAAAGGGGGGCACAGAGTTGGGAGTCCACTCTGGCCTCTTAGTCAAGGACCAGTTGGTACGACACATATCCCCTCTAGCCTGGCCATACCCTCCTACTCAGGGAGCTATGAGGGCTCTGGATAGACAAAGAGGGACTAGGCATACACAGTGGCCCAATGGTCACCCAGAATTCTGCTGTGAGAACTTGTCCCTTGAGAACATGAAGCCAGCTCTCCACATTGCCAAGAACACAGCCCAACAAGACAAGCCTTTGGAAGAAGACATGTGTGAGACAAAATATCAGAAGAACACTTCCATGCCTTCAAGTAAGTCAACGAGACTTGAAAGAAAGAAACCCTCAGAAGGACAAGAAGCCAGGAGTCGAACTGGGAGAAACATTGGAGCCCGTTTTCAGGTTCCTAGCGGCTTTACCCAGCAGGTCTGCATAAAGAGGATGATTGGACCACAGGCCCAAGTACCAGGTGTCTGAGATGGTCTGCACTGGGCTGTGCCGGGGCGGGGGAAGTCCACTTTGCTCCATCCCTTGGCGTTCCTTTAAACCCTTTGGCTGAGTCAGTCAGGGCCCGATGGATTAGGATCCAGGCCCTCTCGAGGCTGGATACAGAGGCTATCCTGTATCTTCTATCTCTTTCTCTCTCTTCTATCCTTCTAACATTTCCTGCTGCTCCTACTCAAGAGTACTCTGGGGAAACATGGGGGTGAGGGATGCCCCCCCGACAGGGAAACCTGGGGGCGGGGTCTTGCTGCTACGAGCAAGTCAGCTTCCACTCTCCAAAAGTGCTCAGTTTCTCTCACCTGTGAAATGGGCCACTAGGGCCTCCTACTCATTCAAAACATCATTCTCAGCTACAAAGCAGGAGCTCATTGTGGAGAGGAACATGGATGGAAGGCAGGGAAACTGCCACCATTCACATGGCAGGGCAGCTGGAGCAGAGTCAGGATCCCACCACACACCAGTGAGGACTAGAGAGTGAGGACTAGAGAGTGAGGACTAGAGAGTGAGAACTAGAGAGTGAGGACTAGAGAGTGAGGACTAGAGAGTGAGGACTAGAGAGTGAGGACTAGAGAGAGAGGACTAGAGAGAGAGGACTAGAGAGAGTGAGGACTAGAGAGTGAGGACTAGAGAGAGAGGACTAGAGAGTGAGGACTAGAGAGAGTGAGGACTAGAGAGTGAGGACTAGAGAGTGAGGACTAGAGAGTGAGGACTAGAGAGTGAGGACTAGAGAGGGTGAGGACTAGAGAGAGTGAGGACTAGAGAGAGAGGACTAGAGAGAGTGAGGACTAGAGAGTGAGGACTAGGGGGAGTGAGGACTAGAGAGTGAGGACTAGAGAGTGAGGACTAGAGAGAGTGAGAACTAGAGAGAGTGAGGACTAGAGAGTGAGGACTAGAGAGTGAGGACTAGAGAGTGAGGACTAGAGAGAGTGAGGACTAGAGAGTGAGGACTAGAGAGTGAGGACTAGAGAGAGTGAGGACTAGAGAGTGAGGACTAGAGAGTGAGGACTAGAGAGTGAGGACTAGGGGGAGTGAGGACTAGAGAGTGAGGACTAGAGAGAGTGAGGACTAGAGAGTGAGGACTAGAGAGTGAGGACTAGAGACAGTGAGGACTAGAGAGTGAGGACTAGAGAGTGAGGACTAGAGAGTGAGGACTAGAGAGAGTGAGGACTAGAGAGTGAGGACTAGAGAGAGTGAGGACTAGAGAGTGAGGACTAGGGAGTGAGGACTAGAGAGAGAGGACTAGAGAGTGAGGACTAGAGAGTGAGGACTAGAGAGAGTGAGGACTAGAGAGTGAGGACTAGAGAGTGAGGACTAGAGAGTGAGGACTAGAGAGTGAGGACTAGGGGGAGTGAGGACTAGAGAGTGAGGACTAGAGAGTGAGGACTAGAGAGTGAGGACTAGAGAGAGTGAGGACTAGAGAGAGTGAGGACTAGAGAGAGTGAGGACTAGAGAGTGAGGACTAGAGAGAGTGAGGACTAGAGAGTGAGGACTAGAGAGAGTGAGGACTAGAGAGTGAGGACTAGAGAGTGAGGACTAGGGAGTGAGGACTAGAGAGAGTGAGGACTAGAGAGTTAGGACTAGAGAAAGTGAGGACTAGACAGTGAGGACTAGAGAGAGTGAGGACTAGAGAGAGTGAGGACTAGAGAGAGTGACGACTAGAGAGAGTGAGGACTAGAGAGAGTGAGGACTAGAGAGTGACGACTAGAGAGTGACGACTAGAGAGTGAGGACTAGAGAGTGAGGACTAGAGAGAGTGAGGACTAGAGAGTGAGGACTAGAGAGAGTGAGGACTAGAGAGTGAGGACTAGGGAGTGAGGACTAGAGAGAGTGAGGACTAGAGAGTGAGGACTAGAGAGTGAGGACTAGAGAGAGTGAGGACTAGAGAGAGTGAGGACTAGAGAGTGAGGACTAGAGAGTGAGGACTAGAGAGAGTGAGGACTAGAAAGTGAGGACTAGAGAGTGAGGACTAGAGAGTGAGGACTAGAGAGAGTGAGGACTAGACAGTGAGGACTAGAGAGAGTGAGGACTAGAGAGTGAGGACTAGAGAGTGAGGACTAGAGAGAGTGAGGACTAGAGAGTGAGGACTAGAGAGTGAGGACTAGAGAGTGAGGACTAGAGAGTGAGGACTAGGGGGAGTGAGGACTAGAGAGTGAGGACTAGAGAGAGTGAGGACTAGAGAGAGTGAGGACTAGAGAGTGAGGACTAGAGAGAGTGAGGACTAGAGAGTGAGGACTAGAGAGTGAGGACTAGAGAGTGAGGACTAGAGAGAGTGAGGACTAGAGAGTGAGGACTAGAGAGTGAGGACTAGAGAGTGAGGACTAGAGAGTGAGGACTAGAGAGTGAGGACTAGAGAGTGAGGACTAGAGAGTGAGGACTAGGTGGAATGGGCCATTTGTAAGTTGCCAGCAGAAACATCAGGCAGGAAAGCTGCTAACCAGCTCAGCCATTTCATGCCTGGGCATTCATCCCAAAGAAACAAAGACTTATGTTCCCATAAAAACCTGTACAAAGTGTTTATAGCAGTTTTATTCACAGAAGCCCAAACCTGGAGCCAACCCACATGCCTTTCAGCAGGTAAGCAGAGAGACAAATGGAGGCACAGGCATGCCAGGGAATACTACTCAGCCAGGATAAGGGACAGCTACTGATGAACACGACCAACCTGGAGATTCCAGAGAATTACACTGAGTCAAAAAGGCTCAAACTCCGGAAGGTTAGAGAGACCACTTCTGTCCATCTGCCTTTGCTAAAGTGGAAAATGACCTGAGCAGGGCCGATCCGAGGCTGCAGGGGCTTGGGCGGGCAAGTGGGTATACAAGGGAACACAGGCACCCTGTGCCAACGCAGATGTCTTGTGCCCTGACAGTGCTGGCTCTCACCCACCAGGGTTAGTCTCTAGTACCTTCCAGGGACCATCACTACAAACTCAGTCGGGCCTGCATGAGAACTCCATGTCCTTTCTAGGTGCTGTGTGTCCCCCCGGGATTCAGATGGGAGCTCGTTTACGAGTGACCACATACAGGACCGTCCCTGGCATGTAAATTGGTGCCTGCAGACAGGGCTCCGGGACCTCTTGGTCGCCCACTACTTCTACTTTTAAGACATGCCACCCCTGTGATTTCGTGACCTGTGGGTGAGGGTCCGTGGGTCTGCAGTATACACTGCTCATCACCAGCTTTGATTTCCCAGAACATCAGAGCCTCACATCCCCACATCTAGGATGATTATTTTCCCAGAAGCGTGAACACTTGGTGGCAGACATGCAGAGCGCATCCTCATCCCAGAAGGCTCTGGAGTCAGATGGTCTGGTTTTGGCTCTGCCCTATCCTTGCTTTGGAATCCTGCCGACATGGCTTCCCTTACTGCCCCAAGCCTCAGTTTCCCCACTTTGAAATAAGAAGGATCACACTCTCTATCCAGAGCTTGCCCTGGGCTTTTCCTGTGTCATAACCTTATCAAAGTGTCCTCTTAAGCAGGGCCTCCAGTGCACAGGATGCCTGGGACTGGGGGTGCTGGCATGGTGGGTCTTGTTCTCCACTCACGGGCCCATCTGATAATTTGTTGAGCCATGATCGTGACACCTTCAACCTGGGCTCAAGGTGTCCCAGAAGTACCCAAGAAGAATGTAGCCTGGAGGGAGGCAATCACAGCAAGGGCCAAATTCTAGATATGGTAGCCTTGGGGAAAATCCTGGGACCCTTTCTCATTCCGCTTAACATGGCTAAGGGTGACTCTTACCAGGCATGGCTTAATTGACATTGGATGCCTACATGGGTGGGTGGATGGATGCATGCATGAATGGATACATGGATACATGGATGGTTGGGTAAATGTGTAGATGCATATATAGATGGGCAGATAGACAATGCATGCACTGGATAGGTGCATGGATGGACAGGTAGATGTTTGGATCGGCATGTACATGCATAGATGCATAAATAGGTGGATGGTGAGTGTGTGGATAGAGGCTTGGTTGGATGGATGCATGAGCTGATGGTTAGGATGAATGAACACATAATTGGGTGTTTAGTTACATAGATGCATGAATGGGTGGATGCATGGATGCATGGGTGCCTGCATGGATGGATGCATGGATGGATGGATGGATGGATGGATGGATGGATGGATGGATGGATGATTGGATGGATGGATGATTGGATGGATGGAAAACTTGGTGGATGAATGTATAATAGGTGTACTGCTCAATTCCATTATTAAATTAATTGAATTAACAATTTTTAGAGCATGAGGAAAGCAAACCCCCAGTATATCTGTAAGAATGTTTCCAGAGAACAGCAAGGGAAGACACCTACCCTGAGTGGGTCGTGACATCCCGTTGGTAGAGGCTCCACACTGAAAGAGAAGAGGGTGAGCCGAACGCCCCTCTATCTGCTTCCTCACCCGCTGAGATGTGAACAGTAGCTTCTCAGCCTTTCTCACCACGAGAGGCTGCACACTCACATGTGAGCGGAGATAAACTCTTCCTCCCTTAAAGGGCTTCTCATCAGGGTATTTTATCACAGCAATGGGGGGAATAAACTGAGACAGTGAACTAGTAATGAATCTGCTGTCAGGGGCCTCCAGAACTTTGGCTTTGAGTCCCCAGATCTCGTGGCTCCTCTTGGTCTCCAGAATCCCTTTCCCTGTGAAATCCCCTCTGCTGGGAAGTACAGTAAGCAGGTAGGAGCATGTTCATGGAGAGCTGTGGAAGACCCCACATCAACCCCTGCCCCCTTGAAGAACCCACAGCACACATTGCCCTGCAATGGAACCCCTCACAGGATCTGTAGGATCCAGGACAAAAAATAAAAGCAAGCAGCCCTTCTGCACCATCAGCCCCCAAGACTGGAGAAAGCCAGATTGTGGAAGCAGGACCTGGAGCAGAAAATCTGCTCCTCCAGCCACTGTACCCACCAGCAGGGGGAACACTTGGGGTTCTAGAGAGTGTCCACAACTACAGGACTCAGGAAAGTGACGGCATAGGAGTGAGCCTGCCATGGCAGTAGCCAGCTTCCAGCATCCGTGACTGATGAGAAGGGGAAAACCATTCACCGTGTGAAAAGTTCAGCCCTCCACCCATCAGGTCACAGGATCACCTGAGAGAACCATTCTCCAAGCACCAGATGCTCTGCTGGAGAGACTTGTCGTACTCAAAGCCATTCCATCCCAAATTCCCCAGCCCCTCCACCCAACCCTTCCAGAGGAATGCCACAGAAAACCCTTCTCTAGTGTCCTCCAGCAGGGGCCCCAGGGTACCGCTCTCAGGATAACGGGATAATCCCTAAGTGTGAACAGCAGTAGGGAAAGTGGGTGAAGAGCCCAGAGGAGAATCTCCGACTGTCAACTGGTGGTCTATTTCCCCGACACCATTTGCTTGTACACAGATAAGGAGTTATCTTAAATGGCCATGTCTTTCTCAATTTGTCCTTAACAGTCAATCCCACTTTCTTTCCATGATAGTATCTCGGCAGGATGAGAAATGCATTCAGTAATCCCCTGGGATCTTCATATATCAATATCAAATGGTCTGAAATTGACCTGGTATAAAATCCAGTCCTTCAGCTGGCAAGAGGCAAAATCAGAACGAAGTGAATTCTCGTGCTCACCGTGCTTGGCAGAGGTTGGGGGTCCTAGCACCAAAGCCTGTGTTTGTCTGGGGCCTTCATGAGAACAGAGCCTCATGCTCCCTCTGAAGATGAGTCCTTCTGGATCCAGCTGATGGTGGGCTCCACAGGGGGCTGGGCACAGCAGGGGAAGCTCTGAGAAGCCACACTTCGCACCCGAGGTCCAGGGGCAGAGCTTGGACTTGCAGACATCCCTCATAGGACCTCCCTGCCATCTAGAACACACCTTCCAGACTTTCCTGCCAGCTTGGCTGGTAGTGACTCGGAAAGGGTCCTGCCTGCTGGAGCTCAAGGGGGTGGCAGTTTTCTTCTGCTTCCATTCCCAAGTCTCCGGGGTTTACCTGGCTCACAGTTATGAGAGAAGCAATGACCAAAGCCTATTTCATTTCATCCCCCAGAACAACCTTCATCTGAGATGATGGAAAAAACGAAAGCCTGGGGAACTGGAGGAACTTCCCAAAGCTATGTGTGGCACAGCTGGAGGTCAAGCTTCCAAACCCAGACAGTCTGCTCTGGTCCACTCAGTCTAATCAGCAGGCACTTAAGCAGAGTCTGACAGGAGACAGGAGAAGGAGACAGAGGAGGAGAAATGGGAGCAGGAGGGAGGAAGAGGAGGAAGATGGAGAAAGAGTGGGATCCTGAAGAAGGCCCAAGCATATTGGGTACTTTGGGGACAGAGAGAAGAAGGTGAAGTCCTGGGAAGGGGGCCCAGTCAGGCTTCCTGCAGGCAGGCTAGCCAGCCTGAGGAGCAGGAGCCATGGGCTTGGTTCTGCTGGGCTCCTCTTGGCTGCTCCTTCCTGCCAGGTGGGAAGCACAGTAGGACCACTCAGGTGGGGAGAATGTGGGGACCTGCTCTATAGAAGAGGCAGGTCAGGAATCGGGAAATGGTCCTCCCCAAAGGAACTCAGGAACAGCCACCTCTGTCTCCGAGATGAGGCTGGAGACAAACTCCGCCAGCATCCTTGAGCACATGGCCTCCCATCTCCAATCCTCACAGGTCAGGACCTGGAAGACAGGTGACAAGAATGGCCTTGGGTGGTTAGGAACTCAATGAGCCATGGGTTTCCCACACCTGTCAGTAGCTCACAGAGCAGGGCCTGTCCTCATCCTAGAAAGATGCTTACAGGTCAGAGGCAGCAGGGGGTTCACTGGTGAGTCCCCAGTGCCTGGGGCATAATCGCCTCATGGATGGATGGATGGACAGACAGACCAGATCGATACAGCTCATCCCTTCCCAGGGGAACAAGTTTCCTGCAGTTCCAGCCAGGTTCTCAGCCTGAAGCTGCCCAGCTCCTTTCATACAAATCACTGTGTGTCTCCCAATCCCCGTGATCTCCAATGTGGGAGGAGCTAGGCCTAGGTGTCCACCATCAGAAGAGCTGAGAAACTGTGAGGATCAAAGGGGCCCCACCCCGAACTGCTGGAGGAGGCAGAAGGAAGCAGGTCCCACAGGACGGCATGGGCGGGCCAGGCTGGCGGGGAAAGAGCCGGGCTGTGGCAGCTCTTATCAGGCAGACACTGTCAGAACCAAGGAGGACCTCACTGGGCATTGGCACCGGGGTGAGAAACCTGTCAGGGTTTACCAGGGTGTCACAGCAGTCCACCTGACCAGAGACTTCTCCTCACGAGAAACTAAGACACAGAGTTAAGGAGCCTTTCAAACTGCCAAAGGCAGACCCAGGATTTGAACCCGGGCACTTCCCTTTGCCCACCATGCTGCACACATGTAGTTCACGAGGTGAGGCCATGGGTACAAGCAGAGCCTCCCCCTCTGAAGGGCCACCACCCAGAAAAGCCGGCACTGGGTACGGTTCTGTGAGTAGGTCGCTGTCTTGCGGTTGATCAGACGTTCACAGGAAGGGGAAGAACAGGGGCTGAGGCTAGAGATGCATGCAAGGCTTCCTGGAGTCGTCACCATGGAAGGCCCAAGCCAACAGTAATAATGGTTGTGTTTACCAGAAGGTTCCCAGGAAATGGGTGAGCTGACCCCAAAACAATGTTTTCTAAGATCTTCAATTGCTGGCCAAACTACCCAAAGCACAGTGCTCTGCCTCTCACCAGCCTCACTGGCCTTCTTCCCGCATTCAGAACGCTCTTGGATCTGGCTGCCCCAGGACCCTTACACATGCTGTTCTCCCTTCCTCACCTTTCATATAACCAGCTTCCTCTCATCTTTGGATTTCAAACCAAAAATCTTCAAACCAAAAACCTTCCCTGCTCATCCCTCTGGTGCAAAATAGTCACCTCCCAGTTCTTCGGATTTCCTAGGAGGAAGATAAAATTTTTACCTGTGCATACATCTGTTTCTTGGCTTGTTTGATCCATCTTTCCCTCAATATTGTGGGTGCCGTAGGGGAAAGGTTAAGTTCCAGGAACACAGTATAGACCTGGATGGGTAGATAGATGGGTGGATGGGTGGGTGGGTGAATAGATGGGTAGATAGATGGGTGGGTGGGTGGGTGGGTGGGTGGATGGGTGGATGAATAGATGGGTGGGTGGGTTGATGGATGGGTAAGTGAATGGGTGGATGGATGGGTGGATGGATGGATGGGTGGATGGATGGATGGATGGATGGATGGATGGATGGATGGATGGGTGGATGGATGTGTGGATGGATGGATGGATGGATGAATAACTACTGCAATCAGAAACCACCTTTAGGCAGAGGACTTGAACATACAACTTTCTTTGTGTGGTTATGAGAAATGGAGTCTGGTAGCATGAGGTAGGAAGTACAGGGTCGTGACGATTATTGTCTGCTCTATGACGGAGTGAGTTTGGGATGACTTCCCAGAGATGAATCCCTGTTGAACCTGAATGTGACTAGGAGTCAACTGGGCTGAGGGAACAGTATCCACAGGATGGGCTCTTCCATGAGGGGTATTTTACCAGGAGTAGCCCTTGTAGCAATACCTCTGTGATGGGAAGGTGGACATTTAAAATGAAGATAGCAAGAGCTAGAGACATGGTTCAATGGTTAAAAACACTAGCTGTTCTTCCAAAGGACCAGGGTCTGGTTTTCAGCACCTACCTGGTGGCTCACAACAGTCTCACCCCGATCCTAGGAGATCTCATGCCCTCTACTGGCCTTCAGGGGCACCAGGCATTGGTGCAGTATGTAGACAAATGTATGGGCAAAATGCCCATATACATAAAGTAAAAATAAATAAATCTTTTTTAAAAATAATAAAATAAATGCCGATCCCCAGGCTCCAACTCTCTGAGACGGAATGTTTAAGGGCCTTCAGAACATCTTTCTGCATTCTCACCTGCTATTCTAGCAAACTCTGAACCCAAAACATTGTCTTTTTTGGTTACTCAGGACCCAGGAGTCCGACCGAGCCAGAGAGCAAGCCACCAACAAGCTGCCCACACCTCAGCCCTCAGCACAAGCTTGCCCACGGTCCTTGGGGCGTGGGTCAGCCTAGCCCAGCCCAGCCCTTCCTCCTAGGCCCAAAAGATCTCTCTCCCCTCTCTCTCTCTCTCTCTCTCTCTCTCTCTCTCTCTCTCTCTCTCTCTCTCTCTCTCCCCCTGCACAGTTCCAAAGAACTTGGGCTGACCCCATCCTTACAGCTCTGCTGAGTCATGGTGACCCTGTTCTTCATGGGCTGCTGAGGAGTCATGGACAGAAACCCATAAACTCAGTCCAAGCATCATTCGTGGGAGATGGATGAGCATTCTTTTTTTTTAAAGAGAGAGAGAGAGAGAGAAATCTTTTTGACTGACTTGGTTTCTGCCTCTCGATTCCACCTGTTGCCATGTGACAGAGACAATCATCCAGCTGTCAGCACAAGGTCATCAGCTTCACAGCTACACATCTTCATCTTTGCTGAACGTGCTGGCCTTCCCATTGAGAGGCTGGGAGCTCCCTGGTTCCATCTGCGCACCACACAGGGGCAGACATCCCACGCCTCTTCTTCCAGGCAGTTCTCCAGTATCCCAGAGTGGAGAATCTGGTGAGCTGAACGACTGAGTCCGTGAGAAGCTGGAGCAGAAGGAAGAATCTGGAGTCTTGTGGGAAGCCGGTGGGGAGGGTCAAAGTTCCACCCAGAGCCTCAGTTTCCACCTCTGTAGAATGGGAGCCCACTCTGATCCTGTCTTACAAAATGAGGTCCATGTAACTTGATGCCTTGGAGCCTTATCCAGGAGCCCTCCTCAGGTGCCACTGTAGCTTCCTGGAGCCCCTGATGAGGGACCTGACCTCTGCCTGTTGGACACAGAGTGAGGCAGACACAAGGTGCACCTGACTGGTGAGGTCAGATATCAGAACTGTGGCAGCCTCTGCCTTCCTCTCCGTGGGGGTCTGAGGTCAACCTTCCCGGGACACAGAGAGAGGCCTCCATCCACAGAAACTGCTCAAGCTAATCCCTGGCTGCGGCTGCTGCTTCATGGTAATAAGTTGCAAGTCTCGGGGCTGTTTGTTTCCAGTTACAGACAACTGACACACAGAGAGGCCTGGAGAGAAACACACCGAAATACGATAATCACTCCCTGGTGTTTACTGCTCCTGGGTGCCAGCCAGACTCTGCTCATGGCTCCCATTCATCCCCTGGGCACACACCAACACAAAGCTGCTTGAACAGATGAGCAGTGGGAGCTCAGAGACAGGGAGCTACTTGCCCAAGGGCACACAGCCTGAAAGCAACTTAGGCAGTTCTGTCAGGCTCTGAATTCCTGCACACCCTGCATTCCAGGCATGGATATGGATTTTTTCCCCCCCTGTCATTAGTGTTACCGCCTAATGGTAACACTATGTTTTCCCCAGTGGGGAAGACCCAAATGTCTGTGTGTCCGCCCTCCTCCAGGGTAAGTCGCATCCCGGACTTCCTGGAAGGCAGCAAGGAACCACGTACAGGAGAAAAGCCCAGAACCCTGGAGGGAACTCGGGAACCTAGCAGGGACAGCTGGGCTGCTGTCTGCCGGAGATGCAGGGGTTAAAGGGAAAGGCTGGCTTGAAGAAATTCTCTAAGCTGGTGTTAGAGCACGAGAGAAGGCAAAATGCTTGTAAATTCCACCCGGGGAATTGGGCCCCGAATCGGCTCACCTTTCGTGGACACCCCCGCCGCCCCCGCCCCGCCTGAGAGGACAGCTGACCTTTGGAGGGAAATAATGAAAAGAAGAAATTCCTTGGAGAAAATAATGTGTCCGGGCCTCAGTAATGAGATCGGCTCCTTTCATGTTGCCATGACGACGGCAGTCATCTTATAATACAAACCCATGAATGGTCGGGCGGGCAGCCTCGCAGCCGAGGGGCCAGGGAGGGGGTTAGCCTCTTGCAGGCTGGGGTCAGGGGCCACTGGGCCTCATTTCCCCGAGATGCAGCCTGGCTCCGGGGTCTCCAGGGCTGGGGGGCTCGGGCCTAGCCTGCGGCTCGCACCACACAGCCCGGGTCCACAGGAACTTTGCGGCCTGATGTTGGAGGCACCTTCGCGCCTGAGCCTGTGGGGTTACTCGGCAGCTGACCCACAAGGAGTGGATGGGAGCTCCACTGTCAGATCAGGAAACTGAGGCACGGGTGGCAGAATGGCCTCCTCCTGGTCTGGTTCTTAGGCCACAGCTGTGTGTGGCCCAGGCCACTGGCAGGCTCAGACTAGGCTCTCTCCAGGCAACAGGGAGGCCGAAGAGGGAGAAGTTAGAGACTAAAATGATGCTCTTCTCAGACGGACAGAGTGTGAGGAGGCTGGCCTGTGTGAGGAGAACACACTGTGCTGGGCTAGCCTGGACTGCCTGTGTGAGAACGCACTGTGCTGGGCTAGCCTGGTGGCAGGGCACTGCCTGCCACTCATAAGGCCCTGGGTTCCATTGCCCAGAGCCTCTGTGTGATTGACACCTTCCAAGTCACAGGCTGCTGTTTGTCAATTGGATGGGGCTGGAGGGGTAGCTCAGTGGTCGCAGAGCTTTTCATGAAAAAGCCAGGTTGGGTCCCCAGAACCCACACAGGGCCCAACGCAGTAGAGCAAGGGTTTGCCAGCCCATGGCTCTTGCTGGGGGGGTGGGGACAGAGACAGGAGGGTCCCTGGAAGTTCTCTGACCAGCTTGCTTGGAACACACACAACACACAAGAGACCCCTACTCAAATAAGGTGGAAAGTGAGGACGGACAGCTGAGGTTGTCCACTGACCTCCACACACATGGCCCAGCACACAGGCGCATGCATGAACTCATACACAGATACATACGTATACACACAACTGTTTAAAGTGTGTGCGTGTGTGAGCATGTGGGTAACTGCACAGGGGAAGCCTCTGTTAGAAGCCTCAGCATCACGGTGCCCACACCCCTGCACGGCCCTGGACTCTGCATGGGGCAGTGCCCTTCCTCCAGGGTTGAGGGTGCTCTGCCTAGACGGGTTATAGCAGCTTAAGGACACTGCGAGAGATCGGGCTTCCTCTAAGGGGCCTTGACGGAGACCGCGAGGATCAAAGTGGCGGTCACGGGACACACAGGTGAGGCAAGAAGACTTCGGGAGAAAGGGACAGAGAGGGGGATGCCGGAAGGAGGTGAAGGATGGCATCAGGAGAGGAAAGAGGAGGAGAAGCTTGGTGAGAGGAGAGGGTGCCTGGAAGGTGGATTCAAGGGGCGGCCTGAGGCTTCAGAGCTGGGCACCTGGGGAACGGCCACCTACTGCATGGCCTTTGGGAAAACACGGTCCCACTGGATGCCTTATCCATAGAGATTCTCCCATGAGGTCCTGGGAGCAAGAGAGGAGAGGGCTGCCGTGGGGCCACCCCTCACATGGTGGAGAGGGAGAGCCAGGGCTGAGGTGGGGCCACCCCTCACATGGTGGAGAGGGAGAGGCAGGGCTGCGGTTGGGGCCACCCCTCAGATATGGAAGACGCAGCCCCCACCCCTGTACAGCTTTGTAGCTCTCTGTCTCCTTCTTATCCTCGGAAGCCACGGGCTGTGGGAACCACTCTGTTCCAACAGAGACCCCCAGACAGAGACACAGTGATGGCATCCCTTAAAATAACAGTGTGGCTTGGCTTTTTATAGGTCTTTGTCTGATGGGACAAACTGTAGGGATTTCTGCCTGCAGAAAAATCTGGATAGGCCAGCGGGCACGTAGTGTCCACAGGGGAGCTGGGCACGGTTCGGCATTTGCAGGGAGGCCTGTCTCAGCTGTGTCCCTTCCTCTTGTCTTCTGGGGAAAGGGCTCAATGACTCAGTGCTGCCTGGACCAGCCCTGCTGAGCATCATCCCATGTGGCTCCTCGTTGAAGCCTCAGGACGTGGGCCATCTCCCTTTCACAAGTGAGGAAATGGAATCAGAGAGGTCAAGCACTGAGCCCAAGGTCACCCCGATTGTGAGGAGCCTGACTGGGAGTGTGGGAGGCTGGGTTCCTAACACTATGGGGACAGGACGGGTGGACGCTACACCTGGTTGTGGGAGTCCTGAGGCCCCGGTGTCTGTGCCCTTTGACCTGTAGCATTGGAAGTCCTAAGGGGGTGAGACAGTCTCACCCGGGGCTAAAGAGGAGCAAGGATCACATAGGGAACATGAGAGTCGGGATCAGCTAGAGTTCTGCAGGGGAGTCCCACCCCAGTCCACAGCTCCTGAGAAATACCCCAAGCAGAGGAAAATGTCAGTCCGGGGCAGCGAACAAGATGACAGATGTCTCTCTTTTCCCCTGTGTGTCTGTGCTGCCGTAGACGGAGCTGCTTCCTCCGCTAAGAGCAGAGCCGCCCCAGCTCTAGCCTAGGTGATCACCGTGACCTCGGGGGTCCGTGCTCCGTGGACACGGACACACGAGGAGCGGTCATTCGGCTTCCTCTGATTCTAAGCACAATGGTGCCGTGACCACCTGGTGAGGCTGAGCCGGTCCTGCGGCCAGCTGCACAGACCAGGAAACTTGTCCAAGGACCACTTGTCGGGGGTCCAAGAGGCAGAAGCCAGTCTCCGGTCTCACGGCGGCTCCAGCCTCCGGCTGCCAGTCCGTGTGTGAAGTCCTTGCTCGCCCGCAGGCTGCTGTAGGAACAGCCTTGGTGACCCTGTCACCTCCCTGGTGATCATCCTCTCTGCCTGGGACTGGATGGTGTCACACAAACATCTGAGGGTTGCCCCAACCCCCTCAGCCTTCCAGTTCCTGAGAAGCCCGTGGTGCTGAGCACATCTGGCTAGTTGGCCAGAGCTGTAGCCAACATCTGGGAAGAGGTGGGAGGGATGGGAGGAGGGAGGGAAGAAGGGAGGGAGGGAGGGAGGAACCTGGGGCTCCCGGAGTCTGATGGACAGGACCCTGGACCTGCTCCAGATGGCCAGGTGAGAGCCGTAGCTTCGGGTCCTAAAAGTATGTGTTCGTGCATGCAGGTGTGCATGGTGTGTGTGTGTGTGTGTGTGTGTGTGTGTGTGTGTGTGTGTGTGTGTACGCATGTGTGTGTTGTGTTGTTGGAGAAGGGGCGTGTATGCATGTGTGGTGTATGTGCAGGTGTGTCCTGTCTGCATGGGTGCCTGCCTGTCTTCATCTATCTGTGCAGAACTGAATGAACAGTGACCGGTGACGGAGCTGCTCCCTGACCACATGACCCTGGGCCAGGTCACACGACTCTCTGACCTGTTTCTTGCTATGGCTCTGCTGAGACAGTCTGGGCACACCAGCCCGCCAAAGCTGAACAGCCGGTCTTCCCGCGCCCGGCATCTCTGGTGCCTCACAGACCCTGGTAGAGGCCTGTCTGCACACCCACCCGTCCTGGGACAGGCTGCTGCAGGAATGTGGGATTCTGTCTTCTCCCAGACAGCATCAGCCATTCAGGGCCCTTTTCCCTCTGGCTTGCAGCCAGACTTAAGAGTTTTACAAAAATTCCCAAGACCTTTAGCCGCCTTGCGTTGAGAAGACAGGGCTGTCGACGAGGAGAAGTGAATGGCTGGCTGCTGGAGGCAGGAAGCAAACGCAAACTCCTGTCCCAGCCCGGGGAGGTGCAGCCGGGGCTGCAGAGGGGCCAGGACATTTCCCTTAGAGTTAAACCTGATGCATTTTGGCAAGGGCCCTGCAGGCACCTCTGCCTCAGAAACCAGAAGAATGGGCAGTAGGTGCTGGGTGGGGGAGGGAGGTAAGGCCCTCGACGGGACTGTGTCCTCTGCACCACGGCCCAGGGAGCTGGGTCCCTCCTGGCAGGTCCACTACTTAGGTTCAGACTCCAGCCCTGTCCTGTATTTCCTGGGTGTCCTCCAGAGCCTCTTGGCCTTATCTCTCTGAGCCTCAACCCTCTCCACTTTAACAGACGAATTAGACAGCGCCACTAAAGAGCTGCCTCTGGGGACACACAGGACAGTGTCCGTGAACTTATCCAGGTCTCCGTCCACAACCAGGCAGGGAGGGCCAAACGTGCTGGAGAGGCAGGGATGACAGGGGCGACCCCCAGGCCCCAGAGTGAAGCTCCCAGACTGCTCAGCCTTCTCAGAGCTGCTCTGCTTTGGCCCCTCCCCCCAACCCCCCACCCACCCCCACCCCACCCCACCCCACCCCACCCCACCCCACCCCACCCCCTGGCAGGAGTTGTGTGCCCTCTGAGGCTTCAGACAAACCGTCAAACATCTCTGGACCCTACGGTGGCATAAGATGGCTCAACTCTTGTCCTTTTGTCGCTGGGACAAAGTCTCTTATGTGAACAACCTAAAGATTCTTTTGGCTCAGGTTTCAGTTCAAAGCATGCAGCTATGAAGTGGGGGGAAGAGAGAGGGAGGGAGAGGGAGAGAGAGACAGAGAAAGAGAGAGGAAGAGGGGGAGAGAGGGGGGAGAAGAGGAAGGAGAGAGAGGGGGTTGGAGAAAGAAAGAGAGAGGAAGAGGGAGGAGGGAGACAGGGAGGGAGGGAGGACATGCTGTGCAAGCTCTCTCGTATGTTTCTTTATTCCAGCTTAGGCCGGTAGCCTATGGATGGTGCCGCCCACACTCAGGCAGGTCTTCCTTCCCTCACTGGACCCGTCAGGACACACCCTCACTGAGGACACTTAGCCAAGTGTCTGGACCAGACTTCTCACCCCATTAGGCTGACCGTCAAGGTTGACCAATTACAAGCAGCAGTGTGCTAGTCTGTTGCCTGTTGCTACAACAAAATACCCAAGACTGGTTTATTTATAAAGAATAGAGGTTTGCTTGACTCATGGTTCTGGAGGCTGGGAGGTCCCAAACATCACACTGGGTCCTGTGTCTGTGGAGGCTCTGTGCTGTGTCCCAGCATAGCGGCGGCTGTCCCATTCCAAGAG